GTATTTTTCGTCTAGAGTGGAAATCCCATTTGAAATAGCTCGTAACTCTCGGTAACTCTAACTAAACGGCCAAATAGTTCGAGCTACGAGCACTCGATTTAATTGACTAACACAAGCTTGCTCTCAACGCACCAGTACCAGAGCGATATTTCAATGAGTGAAATTTCTTTATTGTGAATCGTCAAAGTAACGTAAGATTTGTTAAGATCGATGAAACTTGGACAAGTTACACTCATATAATATTATCGGAGGAGTTTTTAACCGCTCAAACATCTTGAACGATCACTATATCAGTTACGTAGGTGCCCTTCCTATCCAAGGATAGGCCAGAGACAGTACCTCTGAATTCAAAGACAGTCACTGCTTTACTTTGTTTCATGCAGCTTGAATGTAAACACTCAAAACAATGCGACACTTGTAGAGTATAGTCTAGCAGTATTTCATTTATTTTCATTTGTTAACGTGACTTTCAAGTTCCCGTTATGGAAATTTACTGTACTAGTCTCTTAAAATCACCATCCACGTTTCGATATTTTCTGAGTTTACCACTGTTTAGAAAACGCCTAAATTATTCACCTGACGATCATCGACGGTCTGGGATCAGCATATAGTTGTGTACAAAGTCGTAACTCAGTATTTATCAAGACAGACCGGGAAAATACCACTTTAAAATGAGCAAACTCATGTTCCTAGCGGCTAAAATCACTTTCAATGACTCAGTGCTTTTACGCACGCCTACAGTAACTAGACATTTGAAGTTAATCGTTAGCTAACTCGTAAGCTCAACGTTGAACTTAGCAGTAAACAACATTAGCTCCGCTCGCGCCTGAGAAAGTTTAGTTGTCCTCCTCGAAAAGTCAGTACTTAAGTACTTTTCAAATATTCGTTGAAGTGAAATCGATGTACTACTGGTGGCAAGTCCTTTAGGTCTATCGTAGGTCAACTTGGGCTTTATTATTCCGCGGGACTCCTAGTGGTTTGAATTCTTTACTTCAAAAACAACCTTGTGCCCGAAGTCTTCTTTTCCCTTGTCCAGTGGCCGGAAAACGAGCGACCCTGGAAAGATCCGATTTGAAGTCCGAAAATATCGGACTTCCGATTGAATTGTGCATGTCTGACTGGCAAACACGAGGCTCAATCGAGACTTTGGCGTTTTACTTCCGCTCATTTCCACTGTTTTTAAAACCAATCAAAATCGAGCCCGTAACGGAACTCTCTAGAGTCGCTCGCTTAGTCAAGCTTGTTAATTTTTCAGCCAATTTTCAGTGGTTGTATTAACTCTTGGCTTGAACGTGGAAAATTCCAGAAAATTGAAACGTGCAAAAGCGTTTGACCGCTGTGCATCCTATCGAGGGGAGAGAAGTGGAGGCATTTAGCCCGAAGGGGAAGTTACCGTTTCTTTTATATTACCCTAGCCCTGTGATGTTTATCAAAGGGCAATAAAACGTTAGATCTGCAAGGACAAAAAGGTTGTCGCTACAAGGCCCGTTATAAATGTTTATCCCACCTTCACTCTCCTCTCAAAGCTGGTTACGTAAAACCTATTCTGCTCTAAAACAGGCTCGAAATAATGTTGCAGGGAAGTGGGCCTTGTTTGAACAAAATTGTGACAAAGCTTCAAGCCCCAACACCGCACTGGTCTACAAAACTGCGGCCGTTGGTTTTAGCCAAACTACGTTTTTTGCTATATACCGCAGCTAAAGATAATTAATTTGAAAGCAGTGGTCACATAATACGTCTCTACGGTTTGGCTAGTGACCTGTACGCATGCTCACAGCCTATTACCCACGTATGGAAGATGCCAATCTCTGAGAAACCCTAGACTCTAGATTGGACAGCTGGTCAAGGACTGGACACGAACTCTGGGAGTGAGACTAGCAAGATGCTGGCATGGAAAGTCAGATTACGCAATGATTGTGGTCGCTTGTTAAAATAAGTGCATCGTTTCCAAAATCAACACACCAAGCAACGCAAATTCCAATAATTCAACATAACTTATGTTCGTCGAAGTACCTCTGTTTAAAAGTTTCTTGTCCAGACGAAGAAGAAGAAGAACAAAAAACAGGTGCGATCCCTAAAGACGACGTAAGTTTCTATTCAGCCTTGTTAGGTTTTTTCATTCGCATTAGACCGTAGTCAACAAGAGCATTGTGCTTACTAACAAAGGAAGCACCACGAGGTTTCTGTGTTATTGTATTGTAGTCTTTCATACGATATTGCGCCTGCAGACAATGAGGCTGGTTGTACAGATTAACGCGAAGTTATTGAAGAAAAAAGACTAGAAAAAGGTAGTTTTACTGTTCTTTATGTACGCTTACTGTAGATCGACAACATAATTTTAACAAATCGGAGTTTTGTTACACTAAGGTTAGGATACGAGAAACCTGCCTGAAAATACATTATTTATTTTACTGGCCGTCTGACTGTTTCAATAATTTTTAATAAACTTTATTGGTGCGTCGAAAAAAACAAATAAGCAATATTTAGGTGTTTATATTTCTAATCATGCGTCGTGCTAGAATTTTTAAACCTCCTGCCATTATTTTTCATTATGTCGCATGTTAAACTTAATCTAGCTGTCTTCTACTCCCTCAAACAAGCATTGTCTGATAAGAACGCGTTGTTCGCAAGAATAGCGTTTGCTAGAGTTGCAGGCAAATTGGGAAGTCCCAGATATGAAATGATTCATTTGTATAGCAAGAGAAAGCGCTGTACGTTTATAAACAGAAAGCAATGACTGATTTCAAATGTAATCTCGGACACAGTGTATTTGTAGAAAACTTTCCATGCTAAAATACCCTCCAAGCTGATTAAGAGAACACTTTAAGATTCTAAAGAAATACTTCACAAGTGGAATAGTATACCGCCTAGAAGTTACGTTTGGAATATTCGACGAATTTCGTAACAAGTATAAATGAAAGCTTATCGCGCGCAAAGCGAGTGGCAGAGCTAAGTACCTTGCTGTTCTTTTCGTAACATGACACACGCAGTCAATTTAACTGTACATGTCCCGTCGCATCTTTAGACGAAACTCAATAAAAAATACAAGCGCAGCTGGGTTGAGTTTAGAACGACGAATTTAGGGCGATTATAAAAATATATCTTAGCGCAGAAAGTTATTCTATCTGGAAAATTTTGACTTTTAACATTTCGCAAACATATGTGTTGTAAACCAGTAAATTGCACTGCAAGATGCCAGTAAAAAATCGAGCGAGACCAACGGAACACGTTTTAAAATGTACAAAAATAATAATAATAATAATAACAGAAACTAGATTGAAAATTTAGCTTGCTATCAACATCGTTTGGAATAATTTTCTATTTACCTTTCGTTACAATGTCGACTGATTTTGCTCCAGGAGGTTAAGTATTCCAAAGTTTCTTTCGTAAGAGCGTAACTTGCGACTTAACCGTTTCACTTTTGCAAACAAACGTTGTCTCAAAAGCACATGTTCATCATGTTGGCTTAGCAGCTTTGGCGAATCACAGCTAAAAATATTCCGGAGTAAA